TGCTGCAGCAGCAAAGGCTTTCCGGGGGTTGTGGAATGATTCAAGGAAACTTTAAACTCCTGCCCAATAATTAATCCAAGCTGTTGGGCCACGCCACGGGTTTTGCAGCGTGATGACGGGGGTGATTCTGTCAGGCCACAGAGCAGCTTAAATTCTCTCTTGTTATTTTCAAATGAGCAGGAAAAAAGCACCCATTTTAGCAGTTTAAAGCCTCCAGTCTAAGCGGCAAAATGAATGTTTAACTGGGGAGTGGAAGCTGTTTGGAAAAGCGCCCGTTCTGCACCCATCTCGTGGAGGGACTCTCCCCCTTCCTGGGGGATGAGGTTTTGCTGCTGTGTTTCCCGTGCGGATCTCGAGCGTTTGCGTGTGCGGACGGGGGGATTTCTCTGGTTTTGGTGAACGCAGGATCCCAACTGCGAGGGATCGATGCGGTGACGGAGCAGCAACCCGGCAAACTCCAGAGCTTTAATGTGTTACTGTGCTCCGGAGACCACATGCGGTGAGAAACAGCCTCCGTTTAGACCTGGAGAAAAAAACAGTTATTTGTTGACTCCTGTTTCTCTGTAAGTGGTGGGTGCTATGGGGCAAGGGGTTGAGATCTCGAGAATTATTTTGCTTTCACTAGAACCCTATTGGGTGTTCACTGTCTCCAGGTTCAGGATTGGCTTAAAAAGATGCTGGGAAAGGTGCCATAAAAGAAAGGATGGAAAAAGTCTCAGCCTGGGGTAGACCCCTCTCACCTTTGCGCATTATTTACGTTTCCAAGTCTGCTTTATTGTTGCAGCTGATATGTTTTAATTGGTATGGAATCTGTTAATATGATTTGGTTTGATTTAACCAAACATGGAGCATTTTAGCACCCACTAAAGGGGGATTTTGGCAGACCAGGACAGAGCGGCTGGTGGAGCCGGTGTCCCTGCTCCGGCTGGAGCCTTCGCATGCGCTGCTGCATAAAGCAGTAATTTATGGGCTCCCAGCGGGGTTGAGAGTGAATTAAGAGTGAAGGCATTGAATTTCTAAATGAAAGAGAGCCCCACAGCATCTAGAGGGAAATAGATTAGTATTTTAGATCTATTAATGTTTTAGTGCTTGAATATGGAGCAGTTGGACAGAAATGCTGGAGGAAATTTCTGGTCCTGGTGTTAAAGGACTAGAGAAGAGGGGTGAGTGAACAACTTAAACAAAGAAACTTTTACAGTATTTGTGGAAGAATGGGGTGTTTTGCCTGACTGTTCCCTAGTCCTATTTATCACTAAAGGTCTGAAGTTACTACAGAGAGGAGCAGCATGCATCTGAGCCTGGAAAATGTGCATCTTCATGGTGAATGAAGTAGATGCCAGGCAGGGCTCTGCTTTTCCGTGTTGGTCCTTCCCTCCTGAAGCATCCCCAGGTAATTATGGCCCATTCAAAGCAGAGAAGACATTTCTGGTGATTTTTTTTTTTTCAGGCAGACGCCTTTCCGTGAAGTCTTTTTATCCTTTTTGATGGCCTCAATTAATATTTCCAGAGCTCGTTATTAAATAAGCTTTTTCTGTAATAATTCTGTGATGATCTTTTCCTCTGCTTATGCTTCAGTGGTAACAGTTCAGCTGTGATAATTAGGCTGAAGTCTTTGCAAGTTGTTTGATCCATCACGTAGTTTAAATATCACAGCCCGTGCATCCATAACACACCTATTGAATAAAACCAGCTCTGCCAGTTTAAAATCGTTTAAAATCAGCTCAGTGACATGCAGCTGGATGGCCTCTGCGCCACGGAAAAGGCTTTTCTCTGTGTTTCTGCTTTGTGTTAATTAAGACTTCAGCTATTTTTTAACCAGAAACTCCATGGAGGAAAAAAAGAGAAGAAAAGGTTAGTTTGGAAGTTGCTGGAGGAGATTGGAATGGGTAAGAGCATCGTTTCTGGTGAGATGCTGGATGCTCCACGTGGAGCTCCGGACTCCCTTGGCCCCGTGGGAGGAGATGGTGACATTAAGTCCATTAAGGGTTTCATTAAGGAGCGACCTGCTTCCCGTGCTTGGAATACACAGCTCAGCCTTCCCTTCCCCACTGTTATTTTACGGTCGCGCTTTTGTGAAAGAAGGGCTTGTTTGGGGCAATTTCAGCAAGTTTGCTGTGTTTTTGTGCCCTCTCTTCGTCGCCTCCCTGCGGAGCTGGGGCTGGTGCTGCCTCGGGGGCCGTGTCCAAGCACGTTGGAGCTGCCCTGCAAATGTCACATCACCAGATTTTATTACCCTAAGTGGGAATTAGCTCCTCCAAGCAGATGGCACAAAGGTGGTCTGCTCCAATTTGTGCCTACTTGAAATAAGTAGCTAAATATGTGCTAAGCCCCTGATTTATGAGGGCAGAGCGTGTTAGTGATGGATAAGTGGTGATGTTAGATTGCAAACTCGGAAACGTTGAGGGCTCCAACAGGTATCTGAAAGTGTCTTTGGGCTGTGCAATTCCCAGGAGAGGAAGGTTTTCCAGAGCAATATCCATGGAAGGAGGTTGAAAGCACTTTAAATAACACTAATTATTCTGAAATTTGCAGCAAAATGGTGTTTTTGTCTTGCACACATGCACATTGTCTTTTTGTATGCTCATTTTTATATCTATATATATGTATAAAAAATAATATCTCAGCTGCAGTGGGTAAGTTTGAGCTCTGTCCCTGTTTATCCCCTATCCCAAGAGTTAATGCTCCCTGGATCGGGAAGGGTGGAGCTGCTGCGCTCGCTGCAGCTACAAATTATCTTCCTATTGTTCCTGCTCTGGCAGGATGTGTCTGGAAAACGCCAGGCAGGACAAATCCGCGCGGAACTGGCATAACAGCCAAGCGAAGGCTGCAAAATATTGCCGTGCCCTCTCCGGGGTTATCTTCCAGCTGGAGTTCTGTAAACAGGTTTTCTATAGCAAGGGTTGTGTCTGGGGGAACAAAAGAAAGCTCGGCTGATGAGAACTGCAAAAGGAGAAAAATAGCATTTCTTTTTTCCCCTCGATTTTGTGCATTGAGAAGCCTATCTGAGCGGAGGATCTGATGTGCCCGGATCAGATGTTTCTCGTTGCAGCCATTAGCAGTTGGTTATAGGGAATTCTAGAGCACATCGAGTCGCTTTGCCTTGACGGGGCCTATGCAGACAGTAATCGGACTATAGATGCCTTAATTAAGGCGGCTGAATAAGGAGCTTAACATCACTCCAAGTGTTGATGTCAAGAGGAAAAAAAATCACTCTTTGGCCAAGTGCTTCTTAAATGAGAAAAGAGTAGTAGTGTGATTCCTGCAAGGGAATATTCTTGAGGCAATGTTTTAGTTGCATTATAAGGTTTCTGCTGGTGCTAATTAATTACATGGACTGTGTTGGGTTTGAGGCATAATTGCATTGACTGATATGCAATAATTAGCTTTAATACATGTTTCCATGTGTAGAAGAGATTTAATTGCTTGCTGTTTTCTGACAAAGATGTTGCTGTTCTTCCGTAATTGGCAATCCTCTTTTCCGTAAGTAACCAGAAACTAGAAAGCAGCCAAACATGAAGATCACCCGGTTAGTGAATCTTGCACCAGCCCATGGATCTACCAGGCTGTGGGTTTTGTGAGTAGTAAGTTTGCAATAAACGGGCCCACAAAAGTGCCACATGCACCGAAAAAGTATTTTTGGCCTCTAGGATGTGTTAAAGGAACGTGTGGCTCTTGCAAACTGCCCATTTGGGAAGGACCATCCCAAACTTCCCAGCTTCCAGCCGGACTCCGGGGCACGTTTCTGCCCCCAGCATCCCATGGGAAGCTGGGAAGCATCTCGGGAGCCCCCCGTTTCCTCCCTGCTGAAGACAGAATCCACCAGAAATTCTGGTCTTGGTATCTCCCAGGCACCGTCTCCTCTGAATGTTACCCATGACGCTAGGAGAGAAGCCAAAACTGCTCGATTTGCATTTGCTCTTTAAACATCTGGAAGAATAGCAAATGCTTATGTATTAACATAAAATGTTTGCTTTGAAAATCCTTATTTTTATTTAAATTTTTAGCAGAGATGCTAGCACAGAGATGGGATGAATCCTTTTCTCTCGTGTGTGTGAGCAGCCGTTTGCTGCAGCGCCTATTGCTGAATGTGGTCAGCATAAAGGGTATAATCAGCCCAACTATTGTCAGTGTTTAATTGCATAACCGAATCTTTGCACGTTTGCAGATTTTTTGGGCAATTCTGCTGCCAGTTGCTCATTTAAAAAAAAAAGACAACAAAACAAAAATCCTACTTATGCTTGAAGTGCTGCTTTTGTCAATGGCAGATCTATCATGAATAGTAGGAAGTTTTTTTTAAAAGAAATTAATTTGACAATAAAATCACAACAAATATTAAATACATACCAAATGAACCATTGTAAATTTTCAGAAACGCTTTAAAGCGTTTTGCTAATAAATGGCTTTTACAGGGGCTTGATGGGCTCCATCTGTGGAGTGATTTAACGGTCTTATCTTAATAGCTCTTTTGCCGGTGGCGATGTTATATGGTCAAGATTAACGATGAAGTGTGGCATCATTGTCAGTCTCAACGCGTCTTCCCTAATATATTTTTATTAGATTAATGGCCCCGTTGTAGGATGGGCGTAACGGGCGTTAAAGCGGCGCCGTGTGCGGATGGGGATGGACGGGCCCTGCTTTGGGGCTGTTCTTGCTCTTTTTGGGACGGTCTCGTTTCTCGCTTTCCACCCAGCAAATCTGGTCGCTTCTAAAGCAGCATTTTTGGAGGGGTCCCTTCTCCGCAGGGCTTCAAAGGCAACTCCCAGCACTTCTAAACGCTCCTGTTGGGATTTTCCTAATGACAGAGACTTTCATAAAGCAGTCAGAAGTCGATTAACATCCCACTTTATCTTTTTTTTTTCTTTAATCCCAATGAAATATCTATTGCTAAATGCTGGGAGATTCACCATGAAGAGCAGATTTCTTTAAGCTTGCTTAATAGAGAAGGCTTCATTTGGATTATATCTAGCCAAAGTAAGCAACGTCATTTTGTTCTGTTTTTCTTAAGGTATTTTCCTTGTGGGAGAGGTTCTTCCTCCAATGCAACAAAGCACCAAGACTAAAACTAAGTCTAAAGCACTTAGACTTGAGCAGAACGAGTAGTGGAGCAGTTAGAGGAAGCCTCTGCTCTCTGCAATGTCTCCTGAGTGGTGTTTTGGTGTTCTGGATATAACTAATAGTGCTGGTTATTCACCGTGAATCCGCAGGAGTTGACATAACATGTTACATAAGCAAAGAGTGGATTTGAGGCATGCAGGTTTTCTACTGCTACCTTAAAACTACAACCACTTTTATTTATTTATATATATATATATTTTTTTTTCCTGAAAGCTGCCCATCCAAAGCAGGTATTTATACTACTGTAGCAATCAGTAAAAACAGGGTGGTCTGTATTTAGGTGAGCACTTTGGGAGTTCCTGCTCAAAATGGGGTCGTTCTTGCTTTGCCAGTGAAAAGTCCTCCAAGAAATCCGACCCAAACCCGTTCGGATCAGAATGGGATAGTTAATGAGTCTCCTCCTCTGCCTCCTCCCTCCAAGAGTTAATGATTTAGCAAAGCATGTGTGGAGGGGAGAGGTGCTTGTTGTTTTTTAAATAAAAGGAAAACAAAACCCAAAAGGCAACTGTTTGTGTAACCATTTTCTGCATTTTCTCTTCAGTTCAAATACTGCCAGCCTGTGTTTTTGCTATAGAAGCGATTGGCTGGGAGCTGCTAAGAGAACATAAGGAATATTTTCAGAGCGCGTTTTATTATTTTTTCCCGGCGTCTTCGACGTCGTGTTTTGCCGTTGGAAAACCTGTGTGTTTGGAGCAGGGAAGGATCCGTGTCCTCGGAAGCAGCCAGGCTGCTGTCGGCCGCGCTCGGGAGGTCGAGCTGCTCTGGAGTTCAGCATATGCCTGTCCGCAGTTAGTCGTATTCAAATGCATTGTGAAAACTTCTTTTTTCCTTGCAAATGGAAGCTTTGCATATGAAGATAGTTTGCAAGATGCCTTTTTCTTTCTTCTTTTCGTTTTTAATGTAGGATTTCTGAGTTAAACTGCTTCCTTAATGAGAAAGCGTTCATTAAAGCTGTTTTACCTTTGCCTTCTCAAACAGCTGACTTGCTTGCATCCTCCTCCCTGGTGCTTTTTCCTTGGAAAGAAGCTTTCCTTGCTCGGAAGCACGTGGGGACAGCGCAGAGACACCGCCTGCCTTTGCGGGGGAGAGGAAGAAAGGGGCTCCTTGATGTTTCACAGCAGTTTAGTTAAAATAGAAACATCAGCTCCAGCTTCTGCAACATAGAGTTTGCCTTGGAAAAAAACAGGTAAACTGCAGAGCGGAATTTCTGTAGCAACAGGAATGAATGCATCAAATGGTAATGACTTAACCTATTTTGGAAAAGAAAAGAATGTTTTTCTAGCTGTTCTGAGTCACCCTCCCAATGCTTTATACGTGTTTGATGTATGAATACATATTCATACATAATTTATTGACACAGGAAAGGTTGCTGGTTTACAGTCCATTAGGTTCAATCTCCGTGCCGTGATCAAAGACCACGCATCTATCGCAAATCTGTTTTCCTTTTTACCCAAAGTGATGGAGAAGACGGAATTGCATGGCCACTTTTTGCAGGGAAAGAACTGAATATGCAGAATGCTTTTGTTCTGCGTGTTTCGTGGTAGCAGTTTTCCATAAATAGTTTTGTATAAAAATGGGAAGTAAATCCCTGAGGATTTACACTGAGTATTTTCCATGAAGGTGTCCCGTCCCCTGAGGCTGTTGGGTGCTTCTCTGGTGGTTTAGTGGCACCTGCTGAGGTTTTTGGTGGGAATCTCGGGTCGGATTTTCCCCTTGCAAGCTGCTCATGCTCTTCCCCACTCCCCCCCTTTCTAAAATAGATGGTATTTTTAAAAACACAGGAGTTTCGAGGCCAGCCCTGCAGTGATCTGATGCCAGGTGCTGCTGCTGCCGGAGCTGCAGCGCTCGCAGAATGTGCCTGGGGTGTGAAATGGCACCTTGGAGCAGAGCCGGATCCTCCTGCAAGAATTCCAGCTGGGAGCAGCACCGGGTTGAACTCAATCCACCCAAATAAGAGTCCGTGGAGGAGGCAGAAACCATCGTGCAACCACAGGCTGAAATCAGCCTCTGCGTGCTAGGACGGAGGTTATTCTGCTGCCGCTTATTTCCCTTGAAATGCATAAAGTATCTGTGGTCCCTGCCGTTTGCATGATGATATTTGCAGACGTTAGAGCTGTTTTGCACGAGCCCGACAGCAGGCAGGGAAGCAGAGAGGTAACTTTGCCCAGGGCAGCAGCTCGGGGCTGCGGCTCTCCGTGCTCGCGTGTCCGAGGAAGCTGCTGCTCCTGCTAAAGAATCCTCTTGGAACATCCCAATCTGCTGTATTGCACCAGGGAAGAAAAACCTGGCTAAAACCTGGTTGGGTGCTGAATATGTTTAGCAGTTCCCTCCGGATTTAGGTTGACTGCAAATGCCCATGGGAGCAGGGCGCTGCCTCCATGGAATCTCTCCGCTCCGAATGTAAGAAGGAGCAGCCGTCCCCATCCCTAGTTCCCGGGGTGGAAGGGGTGTTGGAAATGCAGCCGTTCCATCAAAAGCTTTTTCTCCCCAGACGGAAATGATGCAATGGCTCTGTTTTGCCTCCAAGAAATCTGGAATGACTTCATCCTTCTCCTTCCCGCCTGGGAGAAGCAATCCGTGCAGCTGCCGTGGCCTCCTGCCCGAGCCCCGGGAGCTCCCTGCGGAGCGCGGATCCCGGCTGGAGCGCTCCGCTTCCCACGGGAAGGAGGCAGCAGTGGGAATGGACCCGGAGAGGCTGCGTGATGCTGGGTGCAGAGTCCTGAGCTGCTCCCGCGAGTGGGAAACGGGAATGGGGCGTCCGTGAATCCGCAGGACGCGGAGGCCTCGCACAGGCGCTGCCAGGTGTGAGCTGCTGGGCACGTTTTCCTCCTAAATGCTCCAAGCTGCTT